CCCTGTTGACCCTCCACACCAACCACGAGCCTAATGTATTGCTCACAAAGACAACTTCAGCTGTTAATTCAGCTAAAAAATAAAGGCCTAGTAACATATTTGAAAAAAGGCAGCAAAATTATGATCCAATAATTCATCATAAGGACCACAAAATTTTCCAAATGCCGACTTTAAAATTTAAAGTCTATGATATCCTTGTAACATGTATCAGTGCTAGCCTTCCTTTGCTTGCTTATTACAAGTGATCGTAATAAGAGAAAACTCTAAAGTAGCTAATTAGTTAGAGGGCATAAACACTAAGGTGGATTTATTGAAGCAAGCCCAAATGTTAGATAACATAAAGAGGCAAAATGTCATTTCTCTCCCTTTTGACATTTTGCTTGAACTTGCGAAGGGACACAACTTTTGCAATGTGTGGATGCGACTTACGTGGTTACGTAATTTAGTATTGAATTGACTTTTTTTCCAGAAGTATTTCAAAACTAAATAAAAAAAAAATATTTTACAGATAAGTAAGCATAGATATTAGATGCATCATTACTTATTCAAAAGTATTCTGTGCGACTCGTTGACGATTTTATATCATATTGAATTATCATTAATTAATGCTGAATCTCAGTTACATGTAATTGTGTCAAAAAGGGAACATGTGAATGCAGTAACATTCGATCAGTCTTTATAAATTCTCTGGCTTGTATGCTGGATAAATTCTATGTAAATTTAAGCAATAAATACAGATTTTGCATTATTTAGACTGTTTTGCACATCATATTACGTACAAAAATCACAAATCTTTCACAGTTTCAACATGGTGAAATATAGGGTTGTTTTTTAAGGCAAATCGAATCTTATGTAACAAGCCTAATGAAGTAAGGAGGATTTATGCCAATGATGATTTTTCCCTTAGGAATTTAAGATCGAAACTCCAATTATACCTAAATATATATGTTAAATATACTTATCAACTATATCTTTCTGATAACATCAATGGACTTGATAAAATATTTAAAATCAGACATACGTGTTTAATAACAGAAGTACATACATTTAGATACCCATCTAGGTCAAAAAGACCGTGGCATTTCAGTCTATTTCAGAAAGGTAATTTTTAAAAAATATTTTTGTCATGGTTTTAACAAGAAAAGATCAATTTAAAGATTATCGAAAGAGATGTATAAAATGTTCTTACCATTTTGTTTAATATCTACATGTATAATTATTAGTTTTTTGATATTTAAAAAAAAATATCGTTGTAAATTTGAGAGGGGAACAAGATAAATCCCTTACTGCCTCAGGTTATATTTTGCCAGGTCTAATAACATTATTTTGTGCATAATAAATGTAATGAATTATTTGAAACAAAAATATAGAACAACATTGGAATTTAGTCTAAAATCAGTAAAATAATGCTCATCCATTTTCTTGTAATAATTTACCTGACGAAGACAAAAAGGTCATTTCAAAAGATTTACTTACAAAAATCAATATAAATGATATCATCATATGCTATATTGAACCCCAAGAGAGCCAGGAAAATTTCACATACCGGTAACTGAATTTGATCAAATTTTGAACTTCATCTAACAGAGGATGAAAAACTTACAATGAAAACTTGAATTAAAAAAAAAATAGCAGACAGGCTATTCAACAATTTTAGGGAAAAAAAATATTTTTTTCACTATGAAAATAAAGGAAAAGAGGGGATTACCCCCCCCCCCCCCCTTGAAAAAAACAAATCCTTTGTACAGGTTTATAGAGTGTTATATTATGCACGTTAAATAGAATTTGATTGATTTTGAGGGACCGACTTGGGTTTCCATTGCGCAATACTTCGCACATCATAGTAAAATGAAGCGCATTTTCTGTTTAAAGTAACTTTTTTCACTAAATTGTCAATATAAAACAACATTAAGAAATTTCATATCTAAACAAGAGGCCCATGGGCCACATCGCTCAAATGAGTGACCATTCTGTCAATTAACAGATTCCCCCCTTTGTAATACCTATCTTGACCTCGACAATCCTATTCCCTATTGCGGCTCCGCCATTCCCCCGGGGTTCATGATTTGAACAATTTAAAATCTACACTACCCCAAGATGCTTCCACATAAGTTTTAGTTTTTCTAGCCCTGTGGTTCTTGAAAAGATTTTTAAAGTTTTTTTCCTTTACATTTCTTTGTAAAAATTGGATTCCCTATTGTGGCCCCGCCACATCCCCGTGGGTTATTATTTGAACAATTTAGAATCTACACTACCTCAGGATGATTCCACAGAAGTTTCAGCTTTTCTGGCCTTGTGGTTCATGAGAAGATTTTGAAAGTTTTTTTCCTACACTGTATATATTTCTAAGTAAAATTCGGATTCCCTTTCCCTTTCCGGATTTTAAACTGATAGGTAGATTGACTTCGTAATAGTGTGTTATTGAAGATTGATAAACGTAATCTCTTTAAGAAGGGGTAATAAAAATGTTATAAAATAAAAAGTATTTTCTTGAAATTTGAAATATAGAAATTTGAAAATCTCTTGATCATTTGTATTTATTTAAGAATTTACTATACTCACCGTCAATAGAAACGCAACACCCTAATTTTAGGAGTGAAAATTATATACGGGATATAACTATGTACCAAAAAAGTTAGGCCATCTTTTACTTTGCCAAATCAGTTATTTAACGGTTGAATGATTTTCATTCCATTACCGGAAGTTGATTTTTAGCCCCCTGAACAGAAATCAAAAATTAGCATTTTAAATAAAATTATTGACAATATTTTGGGTTTTCAAGGTTTTGTACCTGTTAATTATAAGTCTTGTACTAAAAGTCCGGAAAAAATATCCTTCTTTCACTTCCGGATGTGATGCCTGTATTTCCTCAAAGTAACTGAAAGCACGCATTTTCATTGCTTATGTTGGAAATTTTCAAAATAAAGAAAAAGGAGAGCTACAGATGCAAATATACACTACATAACGACTTTTCGGGCTCATTTGTTTCAAAAGCATGAATGACAGTTCCTTGACCGGAAGTCCAAGGGTTACTACACTACGCCAAGTTAGAGAAAATTCGACCTCAGTATCTGAAAAACAGGCATTAAAAAAAGGACAAGAATATTTATTTCGCTCAGATTAAGACATTGATAAACTTAATGCATGGTAGAATTCGGGCTACTTATGTTGTACATGGCGGACTAGCACGTTTTAATTGAATGGTCGGAAGGGGGGATGTTTTAGAGTTATGTGTTACTTTATAAGGTTTAAAGATAAGATTAAGAATGAATACATCAATGTAAAAAGTAAATTTACAAAACAATGATACTTCATTTAAACTTTAAATGTTATCTTTAGACCTTATAAAGTAACACATAACTTTAAAAACATCCCCCCTTCCAACCATTCAATTAAAACGTGCTAGTCCGCCAGGTACAACATAAGTAGCCCGAATTCTACCATGCATTAAGTTTATCAATGTCTTAATCTGAGCGAAATAAATATTCTTGTCCTTTTTTTAATGCCTGTTTTTCAGATACTGAGGTCGAATTTTCTCTAACTTGGCGTAGTGTAGTAACCCTTGGACTTCCGGTCAAGGAACTGTCATTCATGCTTTTGAAACACATGAGCCCGAAAAGTCGTTATGTAGTGTATATTTGCATCTGTAGCTCTCCCTTTTCTTTATTTTGAAAATTTCCAACATAAGCAATGAAAATGCGTGCTTTCAGTTACTTTGAGGAAATACAGGCATCACATCCGGAAGTGAAAGAAGGATATTTTTTCCGGACTTTTAGTACAAGACTTATAATTAACAGGTACAAAACCTTGAAAACCCAAAATATTGTCAATAATTTTATTTAAAATGCTAATTTTTTATTTCTGTTCAGGGGGCTAAAAATCAACTTCCGGTAATGGAATGAAAATCATTCAACCGTTAAATAACTGATTTGGCAAAGTAAAAGATGGCCTAACTTTTTTGGTACATAGTTATATCCCGTATATAATTTTCACTCCTAAAATTAGGGTGTTGCGTTTCTATTGACGGTGAGTATATTTGTAGCCGTCATATTTTGACGTACTCCATAAGAACAGGAAAAATCGTTAATTTTCCGCATTTTGAGATGTCCCCTCTGGAAACCAGAAAGTAGAATTTTGTTATTCTAACATTATAATGTACAATATTGTAATACTCATCATATGACATAAGTTGAGCAAAACATCTATTGTAGTATGCGTATACTTTGCTTTAAAGTATGAAACATTGGTACTTTCTTATATACATGTAATCCTATTGTAAATGTACTTGTATTTTGAGACAATCCCTTAACAATTTCTGGACGGTAGATTTCCCCCCAAACTCGACATGTAAAATGAAGCAAATGTACTAAGTAACATATGTTATTAACTTTAAGAGTTTCTCTATCATAGTTTTTGCACAATGAAACCCCAGTTGGCTTCATTAAATGTAGTCGGAAATCGAAATTTAGCGTTCGTGGTCCTATATGTCGTTATGCTAAATTACTAAGTAATGTTTTTCATGCCAGATATTGGGATATTACTTTCAAAATAAATTATTTACAGATTTTCCTTTTCTACTAATCATGACAAGAAGCACAACCGGGATTCTCTTTCGCTATATTGTTTATTACTTCATGTTACCTTTCCCAAACTTTTGTGCTTTAAGGGGTACTTCCGTGTTTCCTTTGTATTGCTTTATGGATCTTTGAGCTTCCTTTCTTGTTATATCAATAACCCATTCAGCTCTTTCTTATAATTATTATGCTCTAATTTCAAAGTCTGCTTGTTTTTATTATTTTTATTATTTTATTGCATTTGTCAATATTAACAATATTTAAATCAGGTTCTTTTTTATGCTTTGCTTTGGTGAACAAAAAATATTAAACAGAAAAATAGAATCATAAAAAAATAACTACTTGAAAATAAATATTTTTCCTTTGCTATGTTTAGGGATCAACTATTTTGAGTTTTAAGATCGAACCTGACTAACATAAATAAACATGAAGAATGTTCCAAAAAACAGTTTCACAGTTGCTGATTGGGTTGTGTTTTCTGGGATGCTCATCATCCCGGCATGCATCGGAATTTATTATGCTTTGGCTGGAGGAAAGCAGAAAACTACTAAGGAGTTTCTTATGGGAAATCGCAGTCTAAAAATGGTTCCTGTGGCCATTTCTATTCTTGTTTCTTTTCTGTCGGCAATTCTGATTTTGGGAGCGCCTGCAGAGATGTATACAAAAGGAACCCAGTATTACTTATATGTGTTTGGACAAATGGCGGCCGCAGCACTGGCTGCTTTCTTGTTTGTGCCGCTATTTTACCCGCTGAAATTAACGAGTATGTACGAGGTTAGTATAAAATTTTAAAGAAAGTTCAAATTTGCATATTTATTTACATTGGAAAAAAGGTTGGACAAATTAACCTCCCTGTTTAAAAGTTATTTAACAAATCTCTGAGTGCTCCAATTTTGATCATTTTTTGCTTCTGTCATTTTCATAATATTGCATATACATGTATTATTTGAAACTATTATCCCTTAAAACTGAATCCTGTTTGGAAAACATTCAGTTTTTAATCATGTTAGGACTCACTTGGACTTTTTTTCATTAAACTTCAAGTACAAATTTGTTAGCAGAAGGCACTTGTTACTTTTTAATATGTAAAGAATGACAAGAAGTGAGGTCGACGGACTAAAGGTGAGGTCTGGCGTCCCTTTTACTCCACTTATTCAAATGGATGACAATACCTACCAATATTAACCTCTTTTACTGTGATATTGTTCGAGTTATAACGACTGAGATAGGAAATTATGGATTACTTAAAGGCAGAGATTTTTAACCGTACGGTTTTCTCAGGTAAGGGGAGGGACTTAATTTTACACGCGTGGCATCCCGAGGCATTGTCGGTCGCTCCATATGTTTAATTATAGAGAATATGTTACCAGCTATTTCTTGTTATTTTGAACAAGTTTGCTATAATTCAGGTAATGTCTACAGATTTCAAGTTATTGAATTATCGAAAAGAAACTTTCAGTCCCTGTTTTATAATTCTCGACTAGGTAAAGGAAGATATGAATTCACATTCATGGTGCTATTTCTGAGAACTTGTAATGATATCAAAATCCGTAAAAGCGACCAAAATTAGTTATATCACATGGTGATGTGACAATAATAAAGTGCATTTTTTATTTCATCAATTATTCATCAAATCCAGTTTTAGATCTAATTTGTTAAATTAATAAAAAGAAAAGGTATTATATAATTATTATCATTTATTCTTATTTTTCTAGAAAATAAAGGATATCTCTAATACGATAAGCATATTCGTAATGTATGTCAAGGGGTGTAGAATTTGAAAAGTGCCGGGAGCTATTTTGGACTGCATAGTGTTTTGCTTTTAATTAAAGCAGAATTAAAGCAAAAACGATTTTTTTTAGATTTTATACAAATTTGAGTGAAAAATTATCAATGTTTCCTCAGCAGCACAAACTTCATTCCAGCACCTTTCTCATAAATTTTATGAGCCTTTCTTAAAATCAGGTTTTTTCTGTTCAAAATCTCACGTATGCCACGCCTGATGCATGAGATTATCAGAAAATGAATACAGCACATTATTTACATTACGTATTTAAAAAAATATTTGGGGGGTAGTAATATCTAGGCATTTTCAGAGTCGGTCCTTAACATAAATGAGTTCCTTTGTGAGCCAGAACTTTTTTGTAGATATCATCTAAGACTTTATTTTACATAAATTTTGTTCTTTATGTTTTCACATACTATGCAAGTAAAATATAAAGCACAATATTTCCATTTCTAATTTTTTTTCTCTGTGATAACTGTTTGAAAGTTGGGGGAATTTATTTCTTGATAATTCTGCCGGAATGTAAATTAGGCAGGTCGATAGGTCAGCAGCTAAGGAGGTCTAATACGCATGCAAATCTCGTGCGCATCTGTCTCTGTGTCTGATGCTAAGGAGGCCAAATATGCATGTAAATCTCGTGCGGCTGCCTTTGTGTTTGACGTCAGTGTGCGAGGACTATTGAAATTGGCATGGAAGTCCTCGTGTAATTTAAATCTATTAGTCTACATTTTTAATGTCTAAGTCTACAATTTTATTTCACAATGAAATGGAAATATAAGGAATCACTATCTAATTTTGAGAGTATGCCAGGGACATCAACAATAGTGGGAAACATGGGATAATTTTAGCATAACGGGCTTGGCCCGTTATGCAAATTATCCCATGTTTCCCACTATTGTTGATGCCCTGGCATACTCTCAAAAATAGACAGTGATTCCTTAAATAAAAACTTCCCTCTAGAAATGCTTTATTTGCAGGGCCTTGACCTTTAACTAAATGTTGTACTAAATTTCAAAGTTTAATGCATCTATTCTGCATGCGCCGTTATAAGTAAATTTGGAAACAAACATTTCCTTATAAAGAAATATTTTTTGACTATAAATTTGGACCATCAAAACGTATAAAAACACATAAGGTTCAAAATATGTAACAAGAAAAGATTGATCGAAGTGCATGAAGTCGCTTTATATAAAAATTGCAGGTACAAAATCGGTCAAAAAAGATTATATTAATTATAATAAAGGTGACGAGAAATGTACGAATAACAAGGAGGTATCTCGTAGAAGAAATAAAGAGATGCTTTCAAAAATCGTTTAAATAAGTTGAGAATTGTTTTCTTTTTTTCTGAACAGTATATTGAACTAAGATTCAAGTCCAGAGCAGCAAGATTAACAGCAACAGTTATAAATATACTGTCATCGGTGAGTATAATTTACTTTCATGCATATTAAAGGTACATGTAAATCGGCGAAAGAACTCTGTACATTATGTATAACAAGGCGGCCCTGTAAAATCGGCAAAAATTAAACGCACGATAATTTTTTTTAACTTTCTTTATTTCTTGTTTAGGTTCCCCTTTGTGAAAAATTGCTATCAATTTTCCGCAACTCGCGTGACCTTTTGTGTATATAACGTTCAAAACCGGTTTAATATTCCGGGATTCACCTATTTTGGACGTTTTCTTCCTCTTCAAGTCTAGATTTTGTTATGGCCGCATCCGAGTACGTATGCGAAACTTCGCAAAAAGAACAAGTATACTTTGGTTACTAATATGCAAGAGAAAAAATAACTGTACAAAAGTGCGGCCACGTCCGTTTTTACGAAAAATTGCAGTTGAAAATATTTCGTTTTTGGATAGATGTGACTTTTCCTCCATCATAAAATCTATACTTTTAAGGAAATTTATTGTTTAAGTTTGAATCTAGAAGTTTTATTACCTGATCTATACTTTTACAGAAATTTATTGTTTACATCTGTATCTGAATGTTATGAAAACCACATAAACTTTTCTCCGTAAAATTTATCAAGGGACATTACATGCAATTTAATGACGCAATACATTGAAAAACATGACGTTATAATGAGCCATCATAGCTATATTGAACAACCAAATTCTTCAGTCTTCCATAATAAAATAATAAGTATGAAACATTTTCAATCCATATATACAGTGAAAAACAGTAATAGCGACATAAGTTTGTATGGTTCAATGGATTAATTTACATTTATACATGTACCTCTAATATCAAAATGAGCGTCTCCTTCATAATGGACGTGATATTGACTTTACTGTTCAAGAAAAAACCCTTTTATAACGTTGTATTGAAAATTATCATGCACCTTTCTTAAGTATGAATTAGGTTATACATGTGTACATTTATCATGCTGATCAGAATGTTGACATCAGTGTTTTCAAGACAGGTTTAAATCATAAACATGCAATTCAAAGGCCACGGATCCAGGGCCAGTTCGCCGGGCGTCCCCCTACCCCCGTTTGATTTTTTAAGATGTTTGTATTTTGTAAAACAAGCATTTAACTTCAGTTTTGTACAGTTTAGTATACATGTTGAAAAAGAAATAATTACATCTAAGTCCTTTAATCATTTTTTGTCACTTGCATTAAACACAAACATGTAGATCTAGGAATAACATAAAATTGCAGATCAATAAACAAACTACCTAATGTACAATTAAATTGCCCTTTGCTGTCTTTGTTCATTCTGAGATGGGAGACTACATGTATGGTACGAGATATTCCGAAATATTCATTTACCGCCATACATGTACCTATGTATTCTAAAATTCCTGCAAGGTCACGATTGGTTTTCTAAAATATAGGGGGATACAACAAATTATACAAGGTATTCGTTCCCGGACCTTACCAAGAATGTGTACTCAACGCCTGCGGGGTTTCATCGCAGCTCCAGACACCCTGCTTTCAATACCACCCCTCCCCCGGTATTAAATTCCTGGATCCGCAACTGTAGTTTACAAGGACTTTAAATAATGAAATAATATTATTTTGACAAAATTTGTAAGGCTGCACTTTTGAGCGTTTTCGGCAATTACTACGAAATAAAGATTAACTGTTCTCATTTGTAATTAGCTTTTTTCTTTATAAAGAAAAGTGATATTTTTAAAACATTATATTTAGGAGGTATTGTAAAGCAAAGTAATTGTCTATGCTTTTTCAGATTTTGTCTAAGTATAGTCCTATAGTCACGTAATACATGTCATCTGTTACGTATACTAGTATTTTAAAAGAATTTTTTATTAAATCAACTTTTAAAAAAAACTTATCTAGTTAGAAACACAATCTCGCCTTAAATGGTAATCCGGGAATGGCAAATCTAACTCTGTAAAAATAAAAAAAGGCAGGCCATAGTGACGGTGCCCACAAGTCACAAATAACATCAGTTTTCGTATATTAATAACAGAACTGCAAAGGTGTCTCAATACGTAGCTTATAAAAAGGTTAATAAAAATAGGGATGTGAAGTGAATTTTGATATTTTTTAAATGTAAGTGTTTTGTAATTCTGCATTACGGTTATTTGCGTTTTGTCTTCATTTAAATAAGTAAATATATAGAAGTGGGGGGGCTTACTGATTATCAGCATGTATTTTAATGACTACAAATGAACAAGTTTTATCAGAAATTTGATTTCAAACTAGCGACAGTCCTTTTTCTGTTGATCTCCACTCGACTCTGATCGTTGATCGATCGTTTACAGCCAAAATCAATGCTTTGAAAACAAAACACACAGACTTCCATAGCTTAAATTACGTTGATAAACCATCTAAATCATACACTAAAGTTACATAATATTTCAATGTAGCATATTCATTTCTACAAGTTTTAATGAAAATTATGCCCATTAGACAGTACTACTAAATTTTGGGATCCATTCCCGAAAATTCGTGATTTTTTTTTGTCTTTATGCCCCCGCTTGAAAATCAGGAAGGGTATATAGTAATCGTTATGTCTGTCCGTCCGTCTACAGCTGAACGTGTGTCTGTCTGTTACGCTTTGGGGTACTCATCTCTTATCTTTAACTCCTCACATACCACTGAGTGAAATTCAATGAAACTTTCACTATCCTACTAACATATTGCCATTGTGCACCTTCTATTTAACTTTTTGATCCGACACATATTTTGGGTTTCCAAAGGCAAAACACAAAAGAGAGGCACCCCAAAGCGTAACAGACGGACGGACACACCGATCACTATATACCCTCCCACTTTTCAAGAAAATTGAAAAAAGGCATATCATATAACCCCGAAATAGGAAGTAATTAATATGTTTTAAAAAAAGACCCAACATTTACAGCGCCGCCATTTTTTGGAATGGAAAGGGGGGAGTTCTGTTGATAGCTTTTTCATTGCCAAAAAAAAAAAAAAAAAAAAGAAAATCTAACTTCATAAATAATACATTCAATTTTAAAAGTTCTCACCTCATTTCATCTTGATGAATCAAGTTTCGTAGCTTGTCTGGTACAATAGTTTGTTAAAAAATTATATATTTTTGAAAATTTTTAAACTATTTCTAACTATCAACGATATATATTATGGATTGAAAGAAAGTTCAAAATGGTTTACTGGAATATTAGCAGTAACGTTAAAATCAGTTACGTCGTGATGACGTCGTTACGTCAAAGGTTGTAACTATTGAAGAAAATGAACCATTTTTCTAAACCTCTGGCGAAAAAAACGGTATGAGATAATTCTAAAAAATAAAATGATTTTGAAAAAACACATTGTTGGCATGTTTGTAAAAATCTTCAACCAAATTTAAAGACAGGGCCGCCTCGTTATATATACCGTACTCAGTTCTTTGGCTAACTTTGTTTAAGTTTGTTTTATTTTTATATTAAAAACTGTAGTTATAAATGTCTTTGCATAAAATTAATCTTAGATATATCAAATGTCATTATTTTTTTGGTATTTCCTTTTCATTAGGACATAATCTCAATATACTAGTTATAGCTGGTTAAAAAAAAAGATATATAACACCAGTGCAAACTATCAATTATAAACGCTATTATGACAAAAAGTTGATGCACAGGATGCAATGAAACATGGATAAAACGAACTGTATTCGAGTTCAAAAGTTGATAAAACAATACAAAATAGGGACAAAACAAACACAGACCTCAAAAGCATCAGAGGTTGAATCAGGTGCCACTGAGGAGTAAGCATCCCCTGTCGACCGGTAACACCTGTCGTGTGATCCTTGTAATGATCTGGAAATGACAGAAAAATCCATCGTCAATTCAGTGTATAAATGATGGACTAATTCATACACGTTTTCTTTTAAATCCCTTGATATTACCTCAGTACCTTAATTAATGTTCTAAAACTAATTTCTTCAAATATGATTCTAAGTAAAAAGATTTTTAAAAATCAACTCAGATATTATTTAGATAAGCTGCTTGCATTTATTTAAGAGGTTTTGTTATTAAGAACATTAAGATACTATTATGTCGTTTGTTAGAAATAAAGAAAGGAACTGCAGTAAAAAACTATTCAGGATATAAAAATATGGCATTAATTCCTTTACCATGCTTCTCATTCTAGTACAAATAAGTAAAATAATAAGGTATATATCTTTATATATATATTTTTGAATGCAAAAGTGTTAAATACAAGTCTTTTATAATATTGACCTTATTTCTTTTCTCTCAGGATACCCTATATGTCGTATTGTTTTGTTTTTTTTTTAAATATGTATTTCAGCTAATATACACTGGAATTGCATCATTTGCTCCTGCAACAGCCTTGCAAGCAGGTCAGTTTCAGAGTAGTTATGTATTGTATTGTTGAATTGAAGTAGCAGGGACTTCCATGTACAAAATTTATGCAAGAAATTCCATTTAGGAAGCTATAAACACTGCACTCTTAAGAGATCTAATTGTAGACTAGTTTTATACTATTAAAGTGACCTGCCCTTATAAGTCAGATACATAAAATGATAATGTACAGTTAATAACACAACTTCTTATAGACTAAAATACGTCTAGCTATATAATAGAGCAAGCATTAGAAATTAAATTAATTTTTCCCATTACTTTTTCCAATGAAAAGTAAACAACGGTATTTTTGTTCACTCAAAGTCCATAGTCCTTGACCATTTTTTTCGGAATACAAGCAGGTTTTCTTTGTTGAAAATGAATTAAATAGTCACAAAATACATACCTATATATAAATTGTTTTTCTTCAAATCAAAAAAAAAGTTATTGGTGTTTAGAGCTTCTTTAAACAGAACAAATTTCGGAGCAAAGCAAACACGAACCCATAAAAACATCAGGGGTGAAATCAGGTACAACGGAGAAGTGAGCATCCCCTACCGACAGGTCACTCACGCTTTCTGCCCTTGTCACGATCGCATAATAAAGAAAAACACATGGTTAATTCAGTTTTGTTTATATTGGTCTCATATGTAATTAGTTTGAAAAACGTCGGTCAGCATTTGACTTCATGATGAATTGTATTTGCTGCTTTTTCTAACTCAAGTGTTTTCTTCTTATCACTTATCTTTATCTGCTTCACATAAATTAAACAAATAGAAATGTAATAACAGGAAAATAAAATGTTACATGTATAACAGAAAGCATGTGATGTCCACGTGAATTCTTATAGATTGTTGAAAGAGCTGGTCTCCAAAAACCACATAGATATTGTCAATAAGAAACTTAAGAATCTTTAAGAATCTTTGTGATATCAGTTTAAGAGTACTTGTGTTTTCAAGCAGATTTGTTTAAGAAATAATTTTGCAAATGTGCATTGCCAAAATAAGTAAATTTACAAATTAGGATACATGTATTAAAAAAAGTAAAAAAAAAAGTTAATTTGAATCATTTTTTTCATTACAGTAACTGGTTTTCCTGAGTGGGCTTCGATTCTTCTGATAGGTGTAGTTGTTACATTTTACACTTTTATGGTAAGTTTAATGCAATGAACCTGTAAAAAATAAATTTCAAATGTGTCTTTTGTTCTTGAGATTCTTTTGGTTTGGTTTGAACATATTTTATTGTTAAGATGTTACAACAAAAGCATTGGACACAAGTACTTATTACTTAGAACGTCCTCTCGTTTATAAAAATTAATTACACAAAGTATTAATTGTTCAAAAATTAATTTACACTGGAACCAAAGGTCAAGATTATCTAACATAGGTAATGCATGTACAAAATTTAAAATTGATGTAGTATGTACAAACGAATCTAAATACATTCAAAAACGACCAGATCTACTGATCAACACTTGCAGATTTAAAAATAAACTTTCATTTCCAAAAATACTAATCGAATTATCTCCCCATAACAGAATATGTGTGTCTACAATACGATTCTAAAAATAGCATTGAACAGTTCGTTTCTTGGGCCAGTGTATTTCGCACAAGAGAAAAGGAAATGATACGCGTCTTCTATTTTTCCACAAGTTCACAATGGACTGTCAATAATATTACACCTAAATAAGTCTTTATTTAGAACACAATTGTGTCTTAATCTAGTGTGGATTACACTCCACTAACGATCACCAAAAGTAAAAAAGGACGGTGTTCTCGGTGAGATTCTTTTAACCCTTTCAATATTAAAGGAAATGATTAAAGTTTGAAGAAAAAAGTTATTTTTTAAAAATCAATTTCGTACCTACCTGGAACTGAAAAATATGAGAGAAAATTGCGTCCTGAAAAGCATTAATCACGATATATAAACCCTGTGAGTTTCATACTGATATCTGTACTCCTTCTTGAGATTCTCCCCTGAAGAAATCATTTTGAAAAAGAGAGTTGTTTTCCAAAAATATTTACTCGTATAAAATGCATCAGAAGCGAGTTTTCATTTTTTTGAGTTATAACTATAGACCATATTTATGTCACATTATGTCTTCCCATATAAATCCATCCAATATTGATCGAGGCATCCAGAGCATAAAGTAAAAAAAAAAAAAACAAGCTAATTCAGAGAATCCGTGTCCCCCACTTAGGGAAAAAGTCGGATCCCCCGACTGAATTTGTAGAATTATTAAATGTATACATGTATACTGAAGCAAATAAAATACATGTATGTCAATATGCATATAAAGATTTGATTGCTTATTTTTTTATTAATTGTATAGAAGATTCTTTTTATATGGAATATTTATCACCCTGCAATGATGATTTTATGACTTTGTACAAGCCAGACCTCATAAATGTATTTTTCATTTCACATGCTGAATACTATCATTTAGTAATAAAAGCATTTCGAAAAAAAAAAGAAAGTTGATCGTCCGGGATTCGAACCCGGGACCTGTGACATGTGAAGCGAGAGACATACCACTACACCACGGACCTACTTTACAACGGAGAAAATTATAAGCAAAGATGAAGTCACATACATGTATTTATATATTCACGTTCGATATTGTCAAAATTTAACACAATGCATAGTGTCTAATTTAACCTTTATTAAATAGTTTTAATGTAATAATATAGAGTCCGCCGAGAACCGGTTTTATACGTAATAACTCTCCTCATGCCCCTGTGCTAAAATAGCGATATGTAATACAATAAATACTAATAAAACAAACGGGGCGGGATACTTTGAGAGGGGTGAGAGAGGTCCTAAGTAGTTTTGGTATAAAATTACATAGCAAAAGCTCAAAATCCTCTTGAAATATTGCCCGGAAAGGATAGTGTTACACAAGATATAATGTGTAAATTTACGACCTTGAACTTTGACTTTTTGACCTCTAAATACATAGGGGTCTTCCTTAGGCCAAAGGGAGTTGTTTTGAAAAATTTCATTGCAAAAGCTCAAAGGGTTCTCGATATATCGCTCGGAAACGAAAGTGTTATAACAGACAGAATTTGCGAATTTTGACCTTGACCTTTGACCTTTTGACCTCAAAATCAATAGGGTTCTTTTTTAGTCCATAGAGAGTTGAAATGCAAAATTTCATTGTGAAAGCTCAAAGGGTTCTCGAGATATCGTATGGAAACGAAAGCATTACAGACAGACAGAATGACGGACAGACGGACGGACAGAGAGACCCAAATTAATATCCCTCACTTTTCAAGCGGGGGACAAAAAAGAAGGCTTGTTGTTCTCGAATAACTTTTTCTTTTGATTTTTTTTTATTTTACCCCCTTTAAATTAATTTCGCATACAAAAAAAAAAAAAAAGAAATGGCTTAAAAGTTTGCAAAAACAACAACAACAACAAAAATAAGTTACATTGATCTTTGATTATGAATAAACAAGATGTGTTTGTGAAACACCATGCACCCGGCGGCAACAAAGTTCGAAAAAGCTATTTTTAGCAAGTAGTTTAATTGCATGGTCACAAGGTCATTGACCTAGGTGTCATTTAAATGAATTTGATTAGTGGAATACGCATACCAAACATGAGCTAGCTATCTCTTATGGTTCAAAAGTTATGATTAAGGTTCAAAAAAGCTGTTTTTAGCATATAGGTCACATACAAGGTCACCAAGGTCACCAGATACTTAATGACTGCTCTGTCATTGCGACGTCAAGATTGAAGTAAAATATAAACACAAATGCTCAATTATTTTTTGGCCATTACAGGGAGGATTGAAAGCTCTAGTGTGGGTGGATGCATTTCAAGCCATCATCATGTTCGGAAGTCTGTTATCAATTGTGACAAAGGTAGAGTTTTTTTTTTAATTTTAGCTAGGAAGGCTCGGTGGAACATTAACTGATATACCAACTTAAAGGTATATCCTGTTAGGTCATTACAGACTTTAATTAGCAGTCATAGGGGAGGAGTGTCATTCTTCCATGCCGATTAGGTTTTATTTGATTATATATAGGAGCTGCAGCACATATATTCTCTTATTTTTGCTAATCTCTTTATGTGCATGTCATCGTGAAACCAATGAGGACTTAACATTTTAAATAAGTATATCATCTGTTTAGAAATACCGACCTCATTAGGGGAAAAGAAGTACAGTATGTTAAAATTAATAATTTTATTAACTTATAAAGCTGTACACTCAAAATTATAAGGAAATTTTGTTTAACTGCAGCTAATGGATTACAAAATAGTCTTGCAAAGTATTCCAAGGAAGAAATGCTACATTTCTTATTTGTTGGCTTAGAGAACTACAGCCTGTATGCTTTGAATACTGTTATTGTTGAAAAAAAGTTTCGATTTTATTCATCACAAACTTTAATCTGATCCTTGTGAAGACGGTAGCCTGCAGGTTTTTATAAAACATTTTAATACATTCAGTTTAAATTCTTAAAAAGACCTGTCGTTTTTAAAGTACAAGGAAAGAACTATGCATTAAACACCTGAAAAAATATGGGGTTTTTTCTTGGACACATATCCATGTACATGTATGCACATTCCAAATTTTTTAATGACAGATAGATACGGATATTTCAAATACGTCATTGGCTGATAGATTTTAAACACCTAACAATTGGAAGACTGTCAAATATGACCAAATGGATTTTACATAACACTTATAAACATGATTTTTTTTTCTTTTTGGAAACATATTTTTTTTCATTCATCTAACTTACATCTATGTAAGAATACATATAAAAATCATACAAAACAAACCCCCCCCCCAAAAAAAAAAAAGAAAACAAGAACAAAAATATTTCGTGATCGGAAGTTAGAACTACTTTCATGTACTTAAGTCGACAAAAATAGGTAGCATTTGATTCTTTGACAGAATTTCGGCCTTTTGATTTATAATTTGATAGAGTTTTGAATAGGGACGTTGCTTGACTAAAATATAAATTACTAAAAACATGAAATATTCATGAGAATTAAAGATACATGCATCCATGTAGTAAAATCGACACTATCACAAAAATAAAAATCGATGAATGATTCTTAGTTAAGCAAAGAATTATTATTTTTTGAAAGATACTGTCATAACTGTAACGGTGTCTGCAGAGCGAGCGTCAGTGATTTAAAAAAATGTTTGAATATACCATTGCAGTAAAGAGACTATATCTAAAAAAAAACCAACATATTCATTGTTTATATTTACACTTTTTAAGTATCTGCCTTGAATGCAAATTTGATTTATAAACTAAAACCAATGTCTTACCGTTTGTGTAAGCTACAGTTCATGGAAGCGCCAACGTATCAGCATTTGGTCAATGTGAACGTGATTTTGACTTTTGCTAATTACTTTGTACTTCCTCGGCGTTCAACAATTGTGACGTCAAAATAAAATGCATGCTTTAATCTTGAATGCAAAAATGTGTCATTTAATATATATTGATATCAATATGCTAGTCTTTCATGGGAAAAGTTTGAAAATATTAATAGCTGATTGTCTTCGAAAGAAAATATAATCGATGAAAATAAATTTGCATACCTGTTTATATCTTTTTAAGGCTGCTTTAGAAGTAGGAGGGTTTTCAAAAGTGTGGGAACTGAATGAACAATGGAGTCGAATCAATTTTTGGAAGTAAGTTATTGCAATTAAAAAAAGATGCCTGTGTTTTGCAAAGTTAAGTTAGTTAAATGATTAAAAATCAACTAAATTTCAGATCTTATACAACTCAACGCACTTTTTACGCTCACATGGTTTTTCGCACAAATTAAGTTCACATTGTTATGATGTAATATTGTGTATCGAGACAACAAAATACATTTTACAAATATTTGTTTACATAATTTGAGTTTTATTTCATTTACTGAAACATAATTCACGCAGATCATTTGGTAGAACTTTGATATATTCATGGCTGAAAAATGACAACTATTCTCCTTTGAGTTTTTGTTGTTTCTTGCCAATTGCAACTGTCTTTTTATCCGTTCTTTAGAAAGCAATAGCTCTTGGCAGAAACGTAGACAAGGGCACTGTACAGCTACTGTAACTTGTAAATGCAGAAGAATTTTCATTTTCAGAGAAGGAATTAACTATTCAAAAAAAAAAATTACAACATTATCCTACTCTTTATTGTGGTTTCCTTCTGCAATGTTATCCCTCTTCGGTGCTACATTTCAACAAAACCAAGAGGACTATGGTAAATCGGCAATTTTTTTTTTAAAATACTCACCTTGATGAAGAACATTTAAAATTTTCAACTATATACATGGTATCAAGGAAAGCTCGTTTTATACAATTTGTAAAAACCTATGGTAGAATCGTATAGTCGTAACATCCTACCATTTATTCATAAACTTAAGATAATAATTTTAAAAGACATTCATGCTTGACATTATACATGTACATGTAATATAACGAAGGGTTATGCCATTGTACTGCAGTTCGAAAATGGTATTATTTTTATTACAACAATGTGACCTTAATTTGTGCGAAAAACCATTTGAGCTTAAAAAGTGCACTGAGCTGTAATGAAGGGGAAATTAATGGAGCTATCTGTATTTCATTTTGTGGGAAAAAAATGAAAATATAGTATTAGTTTCATAGTTTATTAGTGACGGTGTTCCCAAAACCTTTCACTAAAAACTATGTAACGAATTAACCCACCGATGAGAAATTTTTGTATTATCTGTGGTTTATAAGCTTTTTTGTTCTGCTTCATACTGTGCTTTTTATGACGTCACGTTGTGTTAGTTACGTAATGTCGCTTTCGTGCTATACTAAGGTACTAAACAGTGTGAAAGACTTTCAATAAAGGGAGATAAATGTTACTTTTATTACTTACGCTACTCTTTCATTGTCAACTGTAGAAACTCTGCAAATTTAGCCTTTCGTATTTTTTCGCTTTGTTCGAAGTAATTTTAAAAGAACATCAACTATGTATTGATTTTCAAATGACAAGTTATAAGAAATGAGTGTTCCACCCACTTAAGTGACAGACTTCAACCAGTCGTTGGCCAGGAGTTAATCGTCGAAAATCATCAGAAGTGGGGAAATATTTAATTTTTGAACGCTAACAGAAAAAGATCGATTATGTGTATATATATTGAGATAACGAACAGTATTCAATATCAAAGTCAATAAAACAATACAAATTAGGAGCAGAGCAAACACAGACCTCTAAAATATCAGAAGTGGGATCTGTGCCATGGAGGATTAGCATTCCCTCCTGAATGCACACGCGATGTGTGCCCCTTGTCATGATCGGAAAAATCTGTAGTAAATCCAGAGTATTAATAATGGACTAACAATTCGTTTGAAAATCTTCGTAAGCATATGACTCAATGATAAATTGTATTCGCCGACAAGGTCATTGTATCGACCAAATAATTTACGAATTGATTACTTTAATCGAGACTGCTGATATCCTTGTTTCATCAACTTGTTTGTCAATAATTTTCCTCGTTTAAGAAATTGTTCATACGTAGAACATGCTCTTGCGTATCGAATCAACTGAGATATAGAAACGCCGTATGCAGGTGATGGAGGTATATTGCTGCATGAGTAAGGGAAGTTGACGATCGAAAAATTAAAGTCATCACGTTTATCATAGTGCTTGGGTGTTAGTTTACCATTAACTTCTTTTTCTAGTAAAAACTTCAAGTATGAAACAGATGTTTTAGACTGTGATATGTTTTTATCTCCAGCTCATTAGGATATATCGTATCGACACAGGAATGGAAATTACCATTGCTATGCGTAAATGAGTTGAAGGCCACGGCAAATGTTTTCTTCTTTTAATGCATAAGATTTTGCACAAATTCTGCTTTATATCAATACAAAAATAGGTCTGCTAATAACGAAGCGCAATTGGTACCCGTAGGAATTCCAATAGATTGTTGGGATACCTGTTCTCCAAATACCACATAGATGTTGTCTTCAGAAACTCAAGCATCTTTTTGATGTAAACTTCAGAGTACTTGTGTGTGCAATTAGAATGTGTTTTGACAAAATAATTTTGCAATTGACCAATGTCAAGGTAAGTAAATTTACGAGTTTCATTTTCATTGAAAAAGCAGCTGTCAATGATAAACAAAAAAAAAATGCCTCGACTTTAATTCATCGTGGGTAATGCTTGTTTATTAAGTTGAATTGTCAAAAGTTTTTAAGCTGTTGATTTTGTTAAATCTGGAGATTTCCAATTGTCCAAAAGTTCCTTTGAATTTTTGAGTATCCACATCTGATTCACACTACTTCTTAAATATATTGTTGCCAGTTCTCTTGAAGTATTTCCTTCACTACTATCAATATATTATTGTACTATTATTAAATTATAGAAAGAGTCTTGGTTGAGCAATTGCTGGAACCCACAATCAATCTTTAGTTTTAAGGATTCCTATGAAGTTTCGGAATCCTATATACATGTATATGGTAGTTCAAATTCATATTGATTCTTCGGGATATTAAAAATATTCAAAAGGGAATATGATTTTAAAGAATTTCTGCCTTAGAAAGGGAACCAGTATATGTTGGATTACCACTCGTAGAATTAAATCCAAGTTATTCTAAAATACAATTTAGATAATGAGCCTTACATGCGAAGACAATGTTGTTCCCTGCTTTGTCAGCAGGAATCAGTATGTACTGATCATATTATCTATCTAATTTTTTTTCACTTCCGGATTAGTGAATAAAGAAGGATAAATGGTTGTCATATTGCCCCTCAATCCTTTAATACGCGATTTTAACATGGATCTGATACATTTAATTCATTCTAACAAACTGTTAACGTCTTTTTTCATATCTGGCCCATCATCTGGCGTAATCTTCAATAGAATCAATAATATTTATGAAATTCCGACGCCAGTTGAAGGATCGATGTTCCCTATATTTAGGACCTTTTAAAAGTAAGTGATCTAAGGTCCTCAACATTAACTATATTTACATCACCTGTAATAACGTGTTCAGCAGGACTATAAATATAGGGCGAAGAAGAACATTGAAACGATGGAAGATTATGATTAAGGTACTCGATATCCAGGCCATGTAAAGCTTTTTTGTAATTGAAAATTTTGGAAGCAATGGTCGAAGTCTATAACTTGAAATATGGTGGAATACAAGACTGGACCCTTTTGTGATTAAGAATATTACTTATGATAATTGCGTCAATTCCTTTATTGGAATATTAAAGTTTATGGAAAGGACGAACTGTTTTAGCTGCATTTTCTTCACTTAAACGTGCGGGTTTAAAAAGACTATAATTGGCAATATCAATTATCACAGATTTGAGCCTATATTCTGGTGTCGAGGATTCAAAATTGGACTTTCCTTGGCTTTTTCAAAAAGACTTGTCAAAAGTTGTTGTGTTGATTTACATAAGATAGCAATGAATCAAAAGAGACAATGTGTATTAAAGGTTTATTGTAAGACAGATGTCCATGAAAACACAAACGTCCCTGTGTATGGTTTAAAAATCCCATCACATTTACATTGTTACACTGTGGACTGGAAAGAAGTATATCGACATTGTCATCACATTCATAGGGAAAGGTTGTCTCTAGTTTTCTGATCCTAAATTTTTCACGTTGTCGGAATAGTACTTGATTTGTATATTACGTTTAAATGACATAAGTTCATAAGTTAATTATTTTTTTCCAATCTTAAAAAAATTGTTTACTGATATGCTTCAATGTGATCTTTTGTTGGATATTATATCATTATGATATAAAGGAATTGTTTTGCCTGTCAAACAAATACCCATTTTTGCTTATGATAAGGATTTCTACGTTTTTAGATAATATGTAATAAAAAACAACGTTTGATATATGCCTTGTTCATTGACTTATCGTATCACAGATAATATTTAATTTTAGTTTTTCTTTTGTTACTTCAATGGGTATTTCATTAATCATTATATATGCTTTTCTCTGTCGTCTTAAAATTTAAGACAATTTTAAATCAAATGCATATTATAGTTACTTATTAACTTTCTTCAAAACTGAAAAAATTTACAAACAATATTCATCGATTAAATCTTGAAAAAAAGGACAAAAAATCTTTTGGTCGGGTCCTCTCTGGCAATCTGTCATACTTTATTTTGGCTAAATAAAGTATTTTTTTCTGAAAAAAGACATATCAGGATCTACAGACACAGTAATAGTTTTTTTCTGCTATCAATATTGTTTTGATTCCTTTGTACTACATGTACATGCAATGCTACATTGTAAATATGTTTTCAACACATCTAGGAGCTGGTATTTGTTTCCTTTTTGAATGCAAAATTTTACAGATATAGGAACATCAAAAATAAACTTCAAAAACTGAAAAAGAACAGAAGTTATCTGATCTATAGACTCTAAAAATAGGTGACATTATCGATGTAACAGCCCAATATTTGAAATGCTGAAAAAGTGACAAAGAAAACGTTGAAAATCCTTTAATTGTTCTGTAGGTTTCTCTGCACATATAAGATATTTAATGTCTCTCAGCAACAACAACGTCAATATACTGCAGGATAAGATGACTAATGGTAGCAGGACGCCTTAATCAACTATGAAATGCAGCCCTAAATCCAGCTTTCTAAAATTACTGTTACATCAACTTATTTTTCAAGAGCATGTCTTATTTTAAAGATCGACTCACTCAGAGCTAGCTTTTAAGCATCAAGTATTTTTTATCAAAAGAAACCTGTTGATGTTGATTATCCCCAGTGAAATTCATGTCCATGTTTGATCTGCTGCTGTTTGTATAGCTAAATTGACTTATAAGCTTGAATACTGTTCATTGTATATTTTATTCAAATTATTTGACTAATTCTATTTTACGTTAACATATAGCATAAATACAGACTGTATCTCATTGTTGTTGCTATTACACTTGTAGTTTATGGCAAATAATTGATTAGGTTGAAAAAAAGATATAAATTTTGAAAATGATTAAATTTCTACATATAACTTTCCTCATAAAATGTTAAATATCAACTGATGCATTCAAAAAGTAGCAGCCATTAACGACCAAACGTCTTTTAACATAAAATACTGAATTATTGCATTTAAAAGTTAGAGAAGTATAAAATGTTCTTTTTTCTCTCGTTTAAGGAAAAAAAAAAGTGTTCTTTTATAGAAAATATTTTTGAATAGTTCCCATTATCAAATCAAGGAAGAAAATAAAAATAAATTGTGTTAATATATTTAAAATTATTATTACATATATTTTTTTTTGAAATCTAAATTTTGAAGAATAACATCGAGACAAAACTGTTAAGGGGGGGGGGGGATTGTCAGAATGGTCTTAATTTTAGAAAAAAGAAACATCGTAATATTTTTAATTGACTTAGGTTACATTAATTTAGGGCGTATTGTGAATAGATAAAAATGGCTGTCACTTTTTTGTAGCTTTGATTTCGATCCAACAGTTCGGCACACCTTTTGGGCATTAACAATCGGAGGCATGATAAACTGGGTTGGAACCTTTGGAGCAAGTCAACAGAGCATACAAAGGTTCAGTGCCTTACCCTCTCTCAGGGAGGCAAAAATGTAAGTGTCGTACCTATAATTTAATGTACAATTTTTGTAACATCAAGAAAATAGCTCTTACCCGTTTTAAGAAAAATGCAATAAATCCCTAAATAGATATATGTTTTACTTTCTGTAAATTCGGAAAAAAATTTGAGTCTTCAAATATCTTACACTAAATGAGATTGCAATGCTTTAATGAACTTATGTGCAATATCCTTGGACTAAATACTTATTTTCTGTTTTTTTTTTCTAAAAAAAAAACTATACAAATATTTCAGAGCAGTCTTGCTGAACTGCTTGGGACTCTTTCTGATGGTAACAACAGCTTGTCTGGCAGGCATTGCTGTGTTTGCTTTCTATGCAATGAAAGGGTGCGATCCATTAACAAACAAAGAAATCAATAATTCAAACCAGGTGAGATTCATATAAAAAAATACGATTCGTAATATAAATCCATCTATTTGATCCTAAAAATGTTGTACGAATGTATTTAAAATGTACATATAATTAACGTACTAATCAGTTCTTGTATTTATGATTTATCGATGTTCATTCATATGCGAAGAATAATTATTGTTTGAACAAATAAAAAAAGCAACCACAAACATTTACAACTTCAAAATGAAAACACAACAAGCATTTATTCTGGAGGCATAATGTAATTTTAAAGCGTCAAATTGTTTTAAACAAACACGTCCCCACGCCCCACCCCCCCCCACACACATACATACATACCCTAGCTAACTTTTGTCGTGAGATAATAATTGAAAATACTTCAAATATTTCTAGAAATCACTTAGTTTTTGAACGAAAATCAAACTGTCATAGAAACATGTTAATCATAAATCCGGGTATTATTGATACATGTAATGCACAATATTAATATCTAATTGTGTTCATTTTACGATGTGCTCATATCAAATTTTCTTTATTTATATTAGATCATTCCGTTCTTTGTGGTTCAAATGCTGCATCTACCCGGAGTGCCTGGTTTGTTCATTGCTGGTCTTTTTAGTGGTGCTTTAAGGTAAAGAATTACTATTGTTAAAAAAATTGTTTGCTTTTAAACTTATCACACAAAATGAATAGTCCTTTTGCAATGAAAAAAAAACTGTTAAACTACGTTAAATAATCGTTTTTGCTCATATTTACAACATTGATTACTTCATGTGCTTGAATTTTTCATCTGAAAAGCATCAAAGGATTTGAAAAAAGGAGTTTTGATTGAAAATCCCTGATCCTTCAATATGAGCAGTTAAAAATTATAAAATAATTTAATCAAGGTGCATGGGCTTTGAGTGATTTGCAAAACCATTTAAATGTGTTTTTGTTCTTATGCCAGCGCTATATCATCCAATCTGAGCTCACAAGTCGCAACGTCATGGGAGGATTTCATAAAACCTCACGTACAAAATAGATCAGAAAAAGTCCATGTATGGATAACCCGAACGTTAGGTAACTTTTAAGTCGGTAAAATTAAATTAGTACCGCTGTTGTTTTAATTATTTGAATAATAGAAAAATAGACCTCCTCTTATCATCTAAATGGTAGCAATTTACATTGTAGATATCAATTATTTTTCTGTTTTTTATCTATTCATTTATTGTATTTTAAATATGAACTAGCTTGGTATAGGAGCCTTGTTTATCTTTCAGTGATTTTCTTTGGTATTCTCGGATTAGCAGTTTCATTCGCGGTAAAGGAAATAGGTGGGACTGTTTTGCAGGTATACAGTTTAAAGTTTTTTTTACAAGCTGAAGAGTACATTATGAACCAGTATTTTACATTTTGAAGCGCTTTCTCCATGTATGATTTTAATTATCCACTAATTCAAAATAATACTAATTGATGAGATGCTCTTTTTGCAATGATTTTTCTTTAGATTGACTGTGTTTTTTTAACTGTATGAAACATGAATAAGATATCAAGAACTTGTAGTTCTGAAAAAAACAAGGTCAACTTTCGCTTTGGCCTATAATAGCTTACTGCTTTAAGATCTAAAAGCCCGGGAAAATGAAAAACAAATGATTCTTTAATAAATTGTTACATGTTTGATATAGACTTTTTTTATTTATATCAATCAAAATGAAATGCATTGTGTATACACTTATATAATATAAATTATTTTTTGTTTTGTTGTAGGTCTCTCTCAGCTTTATGGGGGCTGCTAGCGGTGCCTTAAATGGATTTGTTGTACTAGGGACATTTTTCACGTCATGCAATTGGATTGTAAGTTACGTTAAAGAGCATACAACAGGTTTAAAAGAGACTAATTTTGGTTCAGGTGCTTTGAAACGTTGTTATTATGATGTTTGAAAAAAACACATTTGATCTCTTATGAAAAAACATTACTGAAAGGGTTGTCGTTCTTGAGTCCTTTTCTAGCTTTGAAATGATCGACGGATTTTAACCTTTCCCCTTAAATTTATTAACATCAAACTATTTTTCTATTTGCAATTTGTTACAATTGCTTTTCAAAATCACACACAAAAAGTAGGAATGCCATACCAGTTTTTTTTTTATTTTCTAGATCTCTAAGCCATCCTTCTTAAACAATAGTCTCAGCATTGAAAGACCAATGTTAACTCTTTATTAATTTATATGATTTTTTAAATATAATTTTTCAAAGAAAATGAAAAAATACTTATATCCAAAATAGATTTTCAAGAGTTAAAATTTTGATCTAAACGAATGCATCATATAAATAATTAATAAAATGTTGAAATAAAGGCTGGGTGTACTTTTTAATTAAAAAAAAATTAATTATTTATGAAAAGGAAAAAACACAGTATTTTTGAATATTATTTTTAACTTGTGGTTAAAATCTTCAGAAAGCTAGTCACTTCTGTGTATAACATGTTTGTCATTCATATTAAAAAAGGATAGAATAAAACACTTGCTGTGGCATCCATCTCAATATTAAGATATATCGACGACGTATTGTCAATTAACAATGGTAATTTCTATTCCAATGTCGATACGATACATCCTGGTGAGCTTAAGATAAAATATACCACAGAGTCTGAAACATATCTTTCATACCTGAATATTTTTTTTTGAAGAACTCGTTAATTGTAAACTAACAATCAGGTTTTATGATAAACAAGATAACTTTAACTTTTCTATCGTTTTCGTCCCTTACTTATGCAGCAATATACCTATATCTATATCTCAGTTGATTCGATACGCAAGAGTATGTTCTACGTATGAACAATTTCTTAAAAGAAGTTAATAATTGACAAACAAGTTGATGAAACAAAGATATCAGCAGTCTCTTTTAAAGTCATCATTTCGTAAATTCTTTGGTCGATACAATGACCTTGTAGGCAAATACAATTTATTTTTTAGTCAAATGCTGACTGACGTTTTTCATACAAATTGTTAGTTTATCATTGAAACACTGAGTTGATTACGGATTTTCCGTAATTTCCCGATTATGACAAGGTGCACACGGCGGGTGTGACCGATCAGCAGGGAATGCTTACTCTTCCATGGCATCTGATCCCACTTCTGATATTTTAGAGGCCTGTGTTTGCTCTGCTCCTAATTTGTATTGTTTTATTGACTTTGATATTGAATACTGTTCGTTATCTCCATATCCTTTATTGAAATGAAATTGCGACATTTTTGAAAAAAAAAAATTAATTTTGGCCAATCTCGATCAAAATAAAATCGATTCTAACCAGAATTGTACAATCATTAGAAATAAATAACATTTTCCCAGAATTACTAGTTTTATTAGGTGTTATTAGGGTTGAAAATATTTGAACTTGACAATCAAATACATTTCCTAATTGTTAAACATTTACATGAAGGAGACATCAAATTACTATTTTATTCATTTTTTGTTATTTTGATCGGGATCAGTTTAATTTTGATCGGGTTAGGTCCAAGTATAAAAATAGAAAAAATTCTCGTTTGACATGTAATATGCAGTGTAGAGTTTTCTTTGAGGGTTTTAAATTAGCTCTAACTGGTTGGCGTACGGTGTTTTTTTACTCTGTTTGAATACTATGTAAATTTCAGAATTTACTTATGGGTAAAACAACCTTTTAGTCATGTTTTTGTTCACATTTCTTTTACTTTCGTTTTAAATACATGTTTTCTGGTCGGAAGTTATCTTCAGCTCGACCAAAAATTTTAGGTAAGAAGTCCACACAATGCAGTTCCTTATTAACTAAATAAGGTATACACAAGATGAAACACATCCTTTAAGCCTGGTTTAATGGTGGCTTATAGGCCTTATTGATGGTTTAATGGTTGTCTTTAAGTCACCATTAAGCACCTTTAAGTAACATTTACACCATCATTAAGATACTGTACCATTGAGCCATCTCAAAGTTCTTAATGGATGCTTAAATGTAGCTTATTGGTAGCTTAATGGTGGCTTACAGGTCCTTAATGGTAGCTTTCATAGCTTTTAAACCACCATTAAGTCACCAGTAAGATACCATTAAGCCAAACTTATAGGTGCTTAATGTGAAAACTCCACTAAGCTACCATTAAATCACTATTACGCAGTCAATAATACTGTTTTTATTGGAGTAGAAATATTTTTATAGTTATTTTTTATCCCAAATTATAAATGTAAAGTTCACACATATCTTGATTTAGAAAATATAAGGAAAAATAACGAAATTCAAAATAAAAAAAAAAACCTCTCCCTAATCGGGGCGCAAACCCATGACGTTTAGCGTAGATGGCAAACGCATTAACCATTAGGCTATTACCGCTTATGATTAAACGTGAAATTATTAAACCTTTATTTTTTACAAAATTTGTTTTGACTTGTAAAAGTATTTATTTTGTTGAACGTTTCCAAAGTGTTGAATTGATTTTTTAATCAAAATATAAATAATTATATTTATAGATCTTTTCAAAAGGCTTTTATACATGTATCACATTAATATTTCTGAACCGTTGAGTTCGGCTTTTAGATTTATATAATGAATTCTTCGAAGAATTATAAGCATTAAACCATGATTGAAATTAAATTGATTATAGATAAAACACAAAAATCTATCGTCGAAAAAAAGAAAGAGGAAAAAAAAGATTCTACTGTTTTCAAATATGCAGGGGATATTAACGGTTTCTGTGTCTTAAATTTAGTGACAATCTCTGCGTTAGAGTTACGTTTACAAAAACTTTTTTTAGAATAACATATTCAGTTTAAATTCCTTTTGTATCAAAATGAGAAAGACAAAGAATCATAATTTCTAATTTGTTTTATGTTTGCTCTAAGTTTTGTAAAAATAATTTATCATCAGAATCTGTCAGTGTACGTTGTGTATCTACAGTTTCCTGTTAGTTGACTAGGGACTGGAGGATACACTTAATTAAGGTCTTTTGTCTGACCAGTCGATATACTGTACACTGTTAATCTTAGCCCGCTTCCCAATGTGTATAAATCTGGTCGGATGTCATGTTTAATCTGATCGACTGTTCTTCTGAAAATCGATTTTGAATAACAATTATTGAAGACCGACTAGATTTTGACAGATACTTATCTCTGCATTATTAAAAAAAATACTGACATTTAACACCACAAATAATTCAAATTCTTCAGGATGTTAATGTCAATCTTCGAAAACTTTTTATACCGGTAGCACCCCCCTCCCCCCCCCCCTCCAAAAAAAAAAGACAGTTTTTTTTTTCATGAGAACATGACTTTATATTCCTGTGAAATCTGTAGCGGAATGTTGCTTTCAACACATGAAATAATAATACCATCTGTTTTTTAAAGTAATATATATTTTGTGTTCATGGATGAAGATAAATTTAAGAACAAGTGATTAAACTATTTGATTTTCGGTAGTGAAAAAATAAGTTATTTCACAGAGGCTAACTCCCGGCGTGTAATGATTATTCATTTTTCAAAAATCATATACACTTTTAATAAAACATCGCATGTGATAATTTTTTTTATTTTAAGAAATCATATACGGTAATAATAAAACATGTCTTTATTTATAATAACTGTAAATTATTTAAAAAAAAAAAATTATTAGAAACCGGGAACAAGCCCCTGTTGTTATTAGCTAAATTTATTCTCAGGCCCGAGTTTATGCATGTTGACAAGAATGTTATATAGCAATCACAATCGAGTCAAAATTATGAATTCAAATAGATTTTGTGTAAATGATATTGAAATAATTTATTAAGTTAGTTCAAAGATTTGATATAAGATGCGTAAAAGTGGTTTAATGAGCTCAGCTTAAAGGTGGCTTAATGGTAGCTTAATGAAGTTTGGACATTAAGCACCTATAAGTTGCAGGTTAGTGGTGGCTTAATGGTGGATTAAAGGAATTAACTTCTGTATGCCACCATTATGTCACCATAAGCTACCATTAAGCGATTGCTTACAGGTGGTCTTTCGTCCTGTGATTGAAGCATTGACTGTAAAATAGTTATCCAAATCACGCAAAAATAAGAGAGAAATATTATGTTTTTATTATTATTTAGTTTTTTGCTACATGTATTAACAAGAAAATCTTGTTTAAACAGAAAACTGAAATTCAAATGCATTTCACGCTGATTGTTTAATGCTGCCTTACGAAATTATCGATATTCAATATATTTTTTACTTGTTACATGGATTTGAATTTTAACACAAATGGTGGCAGATTTAATTGGTTTAAGTTATGTGAATAAAAATTCTTATGAAAGGGCAAAATTCTTTTGTATATCAATATTTCAAGAGTTTTAAGTGTCACATATATACTGTCACGTGTAGAAGTATTTCAACGCCACATTATAAAAACGAATACCATTTATGAATTTAAACAAATAATGTAATTCAAACCCGCCTTCTTGGAAAATATATTTGTAATAGTTTAGGTCTTAAACAGCAACTAGTGATACGTGTAAAAGTATAAGGATAATTTCATTAAAGAATCGAGAAATCAGGTCCACGCATCATTATGATAAAAAAAATAATTCATTGCAGGGAGCTATGGTGGGACCATTTGTTTCCTATGTTGTCATGATGTGGATAGGTATAGCTAAGTACAGTGTGATAGGAGTTGAGGGAGATCTTAAGTTTCCTACAGAAACCTGTTCTGCCGATTTTAACCTGACGACTCCAATGACACTTATGACCCTCATGCCCCAGGAAAATCTTCACCTTCTTGCTGATTCCTTCCATTATTTAGATCGCACTGTGATACTGACCAATATCACAGCTGGTATCACAACAGATGCAACTCAGGTAGTTAAACACAGGTGAGATTTTTCTTTACAAAATTTATACTTTTCCAAGAATATTTCTATTCAATATATTTTTAATGCAAGATTCCAAATGCAGAATATTTCAGAGTATTATGAAACACATAAATCCATTAAAAATACTTGACTGATGAAAATTTTTAACATAACACTTCTTAAGCAAGTGCTGATATGTATACTTTAACGAAACTCTCGGCCACAGAAGCATTTTCTTATCGTTGGATTTTTTCTTACTTCCAAAATGCTTTCAATAACACACATTTATACAACCCCTTTTCGCAGCGAAAATGCATTTGAATACCATATCTATCTCTGATTTTGAAACTGTATAAACATCCTTAAAATCAAAGGTACATAGCGGGTTCCGGTTAATGTTCGACCTAGCCTCAAACTTTATTCCTCACTAAGATATTAACAGTCGTGAAGGAGAAAATTCAGGGGTACTGTTTAAGGGTGTACGTTTATTTGAGAAGTAATGTAACAGATTTGAATACATAGAAATTCTAAATAATTATCTAGATACTTTGAAATTACCAGATTTTACATACGTTTACTACCACATTTCTAGGTCAGGTTTTTTATAACACAATTGACATTTGCTTTCCCCTGAACTTTATTTGAAATTTATTTTCCTTTTAAAAAATTTGATCGTGGTTCAAGTACACTGAAGTTGATAATAAAAACATGCTTGGGGTCTTATTTAACAGTTTCTAAATAGTTTGTGGCATATAGTACAAAACTTACATGTCAATTCATACCTTTTTAAGGAAAATGATACCAGTTAGAGTTGTTATTAGTAAACTTTCTCTAAAATGTTTGGGATTTTTCCAAATATCTTTTCAGGCTCCTGGCAATAATACTTGGATGAGATCATTTTTTTTTCCCAATCTCACTTCATTCACAGGAATAACTATTGGGAAAGTGAGATTTGGAAAGTGAGATTGATATCAATAGAAAGAAAGTCTCAGTTGTATGGCAATGGGGTCTGTTGTTTTCGCAAAGTGTTAGCAAAGTCTATGACTTCTTATGTTTGGTCGTAACTATATGGTGTATGCACAATTTCCAGTTGACCTGTTTTAGTAATTCGTCCGTATATTTTTAAATTTGTACCGTTTTTGCTTATTGTATCGTATAAGTAGAATTTTTAGCGAGGATTTAATTTTGGCATTACAAGCCAGGGTGCTGACATCGCTAAAATTGAATATCGCTAAAAATTAATTGCGTATTATTTGTAATAACTTCTTTAGTTAGCATTTCTGAAATCGCTAAAATTACTTCTCGCTAAATATAAAATACCAGCTTTTAGGTAGAAATCGCCAAATTTGCGTCTCGCTAAAATTTCATTTATACGGTATTATGGCTTTTCTAAAACAGCTTTTTTCTTTATTTTTCCTCATATTCTTTATATCAGTATTTTGTTGTAAAATACAAAAAAGATCTTTGTAAGAGTTATTTTATTTCAATCTGTCTAATTTTTATTTCTTCAAGTTGCTCAGTACTTTATAGTCTTATTTACTATTTCTTATCTGTTCTAAAGGTCGGCGCTTGATGCTCTTTACTCTTTGTCCTATTTGTGGTACTCCACTCTTGGATTACTCATAGCTGTCATTGTGGGTCTATGTGTCAGTTTAGCAACATGTAAATTCTTCAACAATTTATTTGAAATCATATGTCATGTATGAAGAACGTTAATTCTTACAACGTTTAATGCCTATATTACCTTACTTATAGTGGACATAAATTAGTACAGTGTTTGCAGCAAGAGTAACTCATTTTTTTTTTTATTTTATCAATGCTCGACAAAGAAAAACCCCTAATACGTTACTTCTATATCTCTTTAAGGTCCAATGAAAGCGGATGAAGTAGACCCGAAATACCAAGTACGTTTTTGTGACTGGTTATGCTGTTGTCTACCACAGTCATTGAGGAAGAAATTAAATTGTTGTACAGGGTATAACGAGGTAATGTAAGACACTGATGCCAAAAGGTGTCCTAAAATTATCGCTGTCTATCCATCATTTTGCCCGTCTGTCTGTCTGTCTCAAGATATCTGCCTTTCTGTCGGGCGACATTATCAAATGTATCTATGTGACTGTATTTTTGTAAATCTGGAGTTAACTTTGAGTTCAAATATGTACAGTAGTAAGACATCTTAGCACAAATGTGATTCTGATTGCTATGTGGTAGAATCTTAGATATAAAATATATCATTAGTTCCATTCCAGAATGAACAGAGAGCTTATGTGAAATTAGAAATTTTATTGAGGATATTTTTTTTAAATACTCTTTTTGTGAATACATGTAAAAGGGTTCAATTTATGTTATATATTTATACGCATTTCGTCCCTGCTATTGTCTGTCTATCTCTTATAGATCTCAGCTTTAACTCCGTATTTGAATACATCCAAGATATACATCTACATTTTTTTTTTAAATTTTAAATTAAGAAATAAGAATATATTTAAATAAAACGTTTAGATGTTAAGGATAAATAACACAAACAAACTTTTTTCAGAAATCAGCATTATTTCTCATAGATTTACATTTAAATTGACAACCTGAATAATGTTTACCAAGTAGAGTGGGAGAATTTTATAAGATTTTGTCATAAAGTTCAAAAATTGTGCAAAACTTTGTATGGAATTATATAAAAGGCAAAATAAAATCTCAAATCTAAACACCAAGGAAAACCTACGATTTCTTTATATTTTAGGGATTTATTATTTATATCAATACAAATCAAAATCAGTCAAAAATTTTATATCAACCCGCGCATCCATTTTTTGTTTGTGGTAAGTACCCTTAAATACACATATTTATTTGCTAAAGCAAAATTGTATCGACATTTTAAAGTAAATCATCTCCAAACAAATTTAAATGCTACCAATAAGACATTTGTAATTAAAAACTTATTCGTTTGAAGTTGTAAAAATATATACGTTTTCGACTTACATAAATATTTTGATTCTCTTTAAACTCATAGTATTCTTATATATTCTTTGCTTCAACATTGTAGGACCAAACCAGAGACTTGTTTTCCGACATCAATGTGCTCCTTGACGGGAATAAAGATAATGATAACAGAAATGGAATTCAGACAAGGCAGAGTCAGGTTTTGTCTGCGGAAGGTTTGTGGAGGTCTGAAATCAGTGATTAAGTCCACTCCCAGTTAGACCAGAGGAAATACAATGACTTGGCAGTAAAGATGCAATATTTTCTATTATATAATTTATAGGTGAAACTGAACATTTTCAAACTGTAAGAATCATATTGAATGTTTGTTGTTACAATACATGTAACGTATGTTTAAGACTGCACAGCTAGTGAATTGAGATTTTTAATTGTTATTTTCAAATGATTAATTTTGTGTTTTTTAAAATGTTAAGTCTTGTTTGAACTATAGGGGCGCCGTCGTCTTTTAATAAGTGTTTTCAATATGTATTGCAAAGTAAAAAGTTAAAACTTGTTAGAATTATTGCAGCACATGCCTAAATCTTCCAAAGTTTGGATTTGATATGCCATCAGTTATAAAAGTACTGAAATACTGTAAAACACTTTACGTAGCAAGTAGAATATTTTAAAGTTCAGGACCTTTTAAATCTTTGTTATCTCATCTGCTTCGAAATGAAATGTTTCAAAACACCAGGACTATTCTTTTTAATGACCAGACCAGAAAATCTTTCTCTATTTGTATATTCACCGTCAAGCAACATCTTCAGGAACATCGAAATAAAGAAAGATAACTCTAATTTTCTTTCGACAAAATCATATAAACTTTTTGATCTAAAAATATTTGTTCTTTTATTTGATTTTAGATATATGATATAAACAACATCACACCACTGTTTTGATCTCGACCCTGGTATCAGCCCTTGGATGGTCTCGGCCCGCGCCCTCCGGGCTTGGGCCGATACCAACCGCTCGGGCTGATACCAGGGTCGAGATCAAAACAGCAGTGTGATATTCTATATATCTCCCCTTGTAAGAGTGTTTAGCCCTTCGTTTGGTCTGGCTTTATTCTATATTAATTATGGATACTATGGGCCTAGTCTCGCGGCTAGGATAAGGCTTTCCGTAAAATATCAAACGCTTCTAACTGTACTAACTTATCTAAAACTACTTAAATATGGCGTCATCATAGAATATATATGGCGTCAAGTCACTGTATACTTGAACTGACATGACGGGGTAAGTGTCATAAGTTTAATATTCTTTACACATGCTGCTTATTTTCGCGTTGCTGTTGAATTCAAGTGTCGGAATTGTTTTGTAGTCTCCAGTGTGCTGTTATGACGTTGAACATTTGAAATTTAAATATCCCTATTCTTTTTGCTTGTTCGATCTGCACATATTCAAACAATTACGAAAAATTTTATGTGAAACGCTTCACTTATACGGCCGTACACAGAGTAAGAATTTATGAACCGTTTATATTTGACTGGCTCAAGTAATTAACAAGGATAAATTGAAGATATTATGTGTAATTCTACCAGAAAAGTATCTATGTATATGTCCTCTAACGGAATTTTACATGAGGATTGTATATTGTTTATCCATTTTTGTATAAATCGTGATTAAAAAAGGAAAATACCCCTTCTTATGTTGGTGAGTTGAGTTTTTCGTAAACATTTAAGAATATCATAAATGGCCGTTATGTGATCAACAAAGTCATGTGCTATCACAAATTTGCTTTATAACAATACCTGATTAAACTTTAATCACAAGTTGACTGCCAATTCAAACAAGGATTACTAATTGAAATTAAAATCAAGCTCAGAATAAAATGTTTTTTTAATGCATTTTAAGCCTTCGGACATCCCTGTCATTACTGCACTGGTTACATGTGTAAAAATGGTCAGGTGGTATTTGTGAAATAGATGAAAATATAAAATGTTAACGTTAACGACCACAGCAAAGGAAGACAACGTAAAAATTATAAATCAGAAAAAAAATCACTCGAGTCATCGGCTCCAGTGAATTAAAATGGGGCAATTGAGTGCTAATAGAAATAAGGCCGTTTCAAAAGGAAACTCTAAATTTGTCATATAACCTTAAGAAAAATTAATATAGACGTATTAATAAATAATTATATACTATTTCGTTAAAAGAAATTAACTGATGATATAATGTTCCTTTTTGGAATGTATTTTTTTAAACCATCTCTCATAACAGAGAAAGTGTAAAAATAAAAATATACACATCATATTAAATATATACTATAAAAAATGTCGCCGTTTAAATGGCTTTATAGTAAAAATTCATATCTTAAAAGTTGAATAATTATCAATTATGTTGAAGATATGTCCATTTAAATTGTCCTTGCAATCTGTACTGATGTACGAGACTTAACTTCAAATAAAGGTGTCAATAACTTTATAAACAATCTGGTAAAACTCTGCTATACAGCAGACGAGATTTCTAGTTGTCTAGGCACAAGCAATTCCCTTACCGTCTCGTCTACAAAACATAACCCTAAAAAAAAAATACGGAAAAAAACACGCATTCATGTGAGTGTTTGTGTGTGTGTGTAGGGGTGGGTTGGGGTGGACCCTCCTTTTTGTTTTCAGAATTATAATATTTATAGTGAAGCGGATAAAAAAATGCGAAATTGAATATGTAGATTTTATGTTTTTTATTCCTTAAAATGTGTCATTACAGATGATTCTTCATATGTGAAATATTCATCACTCTATGATAATGATTTGAAAAAGTCCCTCATTTGACCTTTTCGAGAAGTGTAATCCACGCATGTGAATTTATTTAGAGTGATTAGAAGAAAAGAAGAAGGTACGGTTTCTTACAAATCCAGCCCTGTACTTTTGTCTTCCTTTCTGAATTATTTAATTTTATGCAGTAAAAACATACAAATATGTTTGCCAACATGACCTCATAAATGCTAATTATGACGTCATTAACCTTGCATTTCTTCGCAATTCTTAGCGGAATTTTTATTCAGAAATCATTCACTTCATGCATTGCAAATTAAGATTTCGAGATATATGTGATGTTGTAAAGCATTTGACATGATATGCGCTGAAAGTGAAATGGGCGTCGGCTGCAGACACCTTTTGCTGAAGGAAAACAGAAACAGAAATGAGTCCTTTTGTGACTTTTCTGCACAAAACAAAGAAATGTACCTAATTAATGACGTAATATTTCCAAAATAGTTCTCATCCATGCCATATTCCTTAATTACTTATCAAACCAATCTACTCAAGCCATCTAAAAATAATTTCTTTACTTGTCACAAGGTAAAAATCTCAAGCATCTTACATAACTGTTTGTATTTCTGAAGTGTTTATTGAAATTTAGATATTGATAAACTTATTAAGATAACAGACATATTTTCAATGGTATTACTTGTATATATTTAAAACAACATTTATCACAAGGCTCAATGCACATCTAGTGTACATAATAAAGATAACGGCTACTAGTTTTAGATATCGAAAATTGATTGATCATGCACCTTGATAACCCTTTTTGATAAAAAGAATAAACTAGGTATTCCACTTTTAAAGGACATTATTAAGTTAACAAATAGAAACAAGACCAAATACCAAGAAACACACCTTTAATGTGTGTTACATGTATCCTTAAACATATCTGTGGATCGATTTTCAATTAGAAAATGCACAGTAGGTCCTTTTATTCTTTCCTAGATATTTATATCAAAAAATGTTTTCTTTCGACAACGTATGGAGTTTTATCAATTAGCAATAGATAATTACATCCATTTGTCGAAACGAAAATTATGTATCTTAGTGAATTTGAAATAAAACATACCACAAAGTCTGACACATCTGTATAACATTTGGATATTTTACTTAAAAAAGACGTTAATCGAAACCTAACATACAGGCTTCTTAAACGTGGTGACCCCAACTTATAAATCGTCAACTTATACCCTGTTCACACGAAGAGTTTAATTCGCATTAAATTAATGCGAAGCAAACTTATACAAATTTTAAAAATCTAATTAAATTTCGTTCACGTGACAGCTAATGCGAAGTAAACCAATGCAAATTATTTTTAATATCTAATTCTATTTGGTAAAAACTATTATGATGTCATTTGTAAATAACGTCATTTGTGGAGAGGGCTTATATAGGCTATGCCTGTTGCCCAATCCATTTATGTATTTGTTACATAATAAAATATGTTCAAATCAAATCACCTCATTTATGCAAAACGGATAGATTTGACAAAATTTTCAAAGTGAATATAGATAATTTTGTAGTTTACATAATTTTCCTTTATTTTTCAAAAAAAAATACACAGAAACCTCAATCTAACCATCTGGCCTGTGACTTAATTCTGGCCGTACGCATGCATCAAAACTGAATTCAAATTAGCTTCGCTTAGCGTTCACATGGAGCTTATGCGAAGTAATTAATGCGCAGTAAATTAATAAGAATTAAACTATTTCGCATTAAATTCTACTTGTGAATGCAGTTAAATTTTAATTCGCAGTGACTTATGTTTAATTCAATATAACTCTCCCTGTGAACAGGGCATTAGCTTACTTGTCGGCAATATGCCTCTTTCACCTACATTATTATGCTTCCTGTCAGTTTGTCTCTATATAACCCATACCCTACTATTCTCGCATAGTGGTCTAAGGATTTATATAGCGTAAACATACTATGCCGAAATAGTGCACGGCTTTACTTACTGAATAAAATTCTTCAGTGCACACGCTGAGGATCGAACTCACGACCATGCCATTGTCAGTCCGATGCCTTATCGATTACGCCACAGAGACAATCACTGATTAAGTGAATTTTATAAAATATATAAACTTAATTTATACAATTGACACAAGAAGGAGAAAATAGACAAATTTTATTTGAAAACAGTTATATTATTCTAAGGAACATTAGATTAATATGTACAACAAAGTTTCAAACTAATTACATACAGATCGTTAGATGAACTGATTTCGTAGGGTCATTAAAACGCTTTTTTATATGACGCTTGATTGAAGGGTGTTAAAGACAATTATCAATGAGAATCGACGTCTGCAAACAAATAAGTCTTACTAACAAAACAGAAAATAAAGATGAGTTGCTTTGGGACAGAAAATCCTGACTTGTTTAGAGAAAATACTAGTAACCAATTAAAATAACTAAGCATGCAACCAATTTTAGCATGAAA